TTTTGTCCCTGTGCCACCTTGAATCTCTGAAATAACTCTATAATCTCTTTGTTTCCCATGCCAGACTTTTTAAGAACCGAAGACACTGGTACCACATTCTGAATGTTTATTTCCTTATATCTGTCAAACATGTTCCTTTATTAACTGAATTTTCTTTATACTAAGAATTTGGTTTAAAGATAACATAGGTAAGTGGAACAATTTTAAGCTTGCCAGGTAGATGCTCTGTGGCTTGAGCCAAACCTGCAACACAGGTTGAACAATTTGGGCAATGGTGCTTCGTTCAGTTAGTGCCATAAACTTAGGCTGCACCCCATCGGGTGACTTGTACTAACCAGCTTGCCTATTAATGATGCCAACTTTGCTTGCTCAGTTGAAGTGGTGCCATGTAAAAGTACATTTCCCTACTTGAGAGTCATAGCCACTGTGTTTTATGTAACCTCAAAGCTGGAACAATCACATTTAATCTTTCAAGTGTCCAATTGGTTTCTGTCAATGACCAGTTTTTATGTTCAACCACATGTCAGGATCCAGTTGGGAATATTGTAAGTTTAGCTTTGTCTCCTAGATGGTGACAACAGGCTACTTATTTAAGAACTAGTGGACATGATGGGACCAATTTTTCTTGGGTGAGTCAAAGGGTATTTCTAAAAGAATAATCACATAGGTATATTTTTAATATACCTATGAATTTTCATTATTAGTACTTCAGCAATATTCAGATGCATTTGTTATGAATACATTTATATATATATTCATGTTTGTTAAAAGTTTATGCTTTAGCCAGGTGCTGGTGGCTCATGCCTGTAATCCTAGCTACTTAAGAGGCTGAGATCTTAGGATCGCGGTTCAAAGCCAGCCCCAGTGTGAAAGTCTGTGAGACTCTTATGTCCAGTTAACCACCAAAAAACTGGAAGTGGCACTGTGGCTCAAGTGGTAGAGTGCTTGCCTTGAGCTAAAGAAGTCAGGGACAGTGCCCAGGCCCAGAGTTCAAGTCCCACAACCCACAACAACAACAACAAAAAGTCTATGCTTTGAAATTTTATAAGTTTATGACTTTATAAAGTCACATATACATACACACATATATACATATACAAATATATATGTATATACACACATAAATATTAAATGTATTTTATATTTTTAGACAGAGTTCTGCTATGTAACTCATCTTTAACTTGACAACCTTTCTGCCTGAATTCTGGGATCACAGATATATATAACCACACTCACCTAGTCATGCTTTTTATTGCAGATTGGCAAAAGCTCATTACTTAAATGCAAAGGAAAAGAGAGTACCTTCATAAGCTGAAATAACATTGCCCGAAGATACTTCCCCCCTCTTCTGTTAGCCTCATGAATATTATATTTTATTGGAATGGTTTCTGAAAAATTAATGAGTTTTCAGATCTCAAAGTGCACTCAGCATAAATATCTATCTGAGGTACCCAGCAAGTTCCTGCTAAGACTTGCTGAGAAAGAACTCTTAGAATACAGTCTTGAGTTAGGTACCAATGGCTCACACCTGTAATCCTTAGCTACTGAGGAGGTTGAGATCTGAGAATCATGGTTGCAAGCCAGTTTAGGAAGAAAAATCTGCGAGACTCTTATCTCCAATTAACCACAAAAAGTGTGAAATTGCCAGGCACTGGTGGCTCAGGCTTGTAATTGTAGCTATTCAGGAGGCTGAGATTTGGGGGTCGTAGTTCAAAGCCAGCTCAGGCAGGAAAAACCCAGTCAGAAAAATCTGTGAGACTCTGATCTCCAGTTAACTATCCCAAAAGCCAGAAGTGGAGCTGTGGCTCAAGGGATAGAGCATTTGCCTTGAGCAAAAAAGCATAGAGACAGTGCCCTGGCCCAGTTAAAGTCTAGGATTGGCACCAAATAAAAGTATGGAGGGCTAGGAATGTGGCTTAGTGGTAGAATGCTTGCCAAGCATGCATGAAGCTTTGAGTTCAATTCCTTAGTACCACATAAACAGAAAGGCCAAAAGTGATGCTGAGGCTCAAGTGGTAGAGCAAAAGCTCAGGGACAGCCGAGCGTCGGTGGCTCACGCCTGTCGGTGGCTCACGCCTGTAATCCTAGCTACTGAGGAGGCTGAGATCTGAGTATCGCTGTTCAAAGCCAGCATGGGCAAAAAAGTCCATGAGACTTATTTCCAATAAACCCCCAGAAAACCGGAAGTGGCTCTGTGGCTAAAGTGGTAGAGTGCTCACCTTGAGCTGAAGAGCACAGGGACAGCGCCCAGACCCAGAATTCAAGGCCCACGACCAACAACAACAACAAAAAAAGCTCAGGAACAGTGCCCAGGTCCTGAATTCAAGCCCCAGGACTGGCAAAAAAATATGGAATGGAGATATGGCTCAAGTGGCAGAATACCAGCCTTGAATGAAAAAGCCAAGTGTGAGTTCAAGATCCAGTACTGGCACAAAACACATAAAGAGTTATCAGTTGGGCTGGGAAGGTGGCTCAGTGGTAGAGCGCTTGCCTTGCATGCCTGAGGCCCTGGGTTCGATTCCTCAGCACCACATAAGCAAAAAGAAAAAAGCTGGAAGTGGCGCTGTGGCTCAAGTGGTAGAGCACTAGCTTTGAGCTGAAGAGCTGAGGGACAGCGCCCAGGCCCAGAGTTCAGGCCCCACAACCGTACCAAAAAAAAAAAAGAGTTATCAGTTATCCTCTTAGTGCATATTAATTGTACAAAAGTGCTTCATTGTGATATTTTTATGCATGTATATAATGTACTTGGATGGGGCTTGACTTTATTATTCTTTCTTATCTCTCCCCACCTTTTAGGAACAATGCTAACAATCTTCATTATTCTATTTTTACATATGCATATGTAGTACTATGATAGTCCTTTCAGAGTATACCAGTTTGTATGTTCAGTTTTTTGCAAATCTTCTCTGCCCCAATTTGCCTTCCTCCTCCCGATGTTAGATGATTAGCATAACTTCAAGGAAAGTGAAATTTTAGTATCAGCAAATAAATCCATCTAGAACTCCAACTCTATAGAAAGCCTAAAGAAAAGGCCCTTAGGAAAGCTTCCTTTCAGACCCTCTGTGCCTTGGTCATGAGCCACGCCTTCTGTTGTAAAAGATTAAGTCCATTCCTTTGGCCAAGTCAGACTCTGAGGCCTTTGTTAGCTGAAAATGAACTTATTCCAGAACTTTAGGGCACAGAGTAGGCTGTGATGCTCTGAGCTCCAAAAATGTATAATGTATCCTTAATTGTCTTTAAATATTAGCAATTTTGTGTTTTTTATAATTTTTTATTATTATTTTTGTAGTACTAATGAATTGAACCCAGGGCTTCATGCATGCTAGGCAAGCACGCTACCACTAAGCCCCATTCCCAGCTCCAGCATTAGCAACTTTAAAGTGCTCCCTTCCTACTGTTTTCTTGTGGTTATGAGGATATTTAAAAGACAAACCACTTTTTTCCCTTCAGTTAAATTGTCCTGAAATATATCATTTGTACAAAAAGGTCCACAGTAAATTTGAAGTGTCTAAGCTGAATTAATTTTCACAAGTGGAACCATCATCTAAAAAAATAGATGCCTCTCATTCTTGCCTCCTCGTGTCTTTTGTATTCCACCAGCTCACTGTTCAGATTTCTCACCCTGAGTGTGAGCTGTGAGTCTCACTACGCACCACATCCAGCTTCTCAGCATTCTTTACATGCCATTGTCTAACAGCAGTAGGATTTTGGTGATAAACCCTTTTATTAGTCTAAAGTAATTGCTGATTTATCCAGGGGAATCTTTAATAAAAACTAGCACTGAAAATGTGTCTTTTGGGTGGGAATGTGGCTTGGTGACAGAGTGCTTGCTAGCATGCATGAAGCCCTGGGTTCAATTCCTCAGTACCACATCAACAGAAAAACCAAATGGCTTTTCTCAGGGTCAGTGTCTAGGCCCTGAGTTCAAGTCCCAGGACTGACAAAAAATAAAAATAAAAATGTGCCTTGTGCCAAAATTAGAAATAGGAGAAAAAGCAAGAAGTGGAGCTCAGGCTTGATTGCTGGTGAAGGATTTCATTTGGAACTATCCTGTGTTTGGGGGTGGGGGGGAAGAGGGGGGTAGCAACATGGTGGAGTATCACAACTAGCATTTTAGCCAGAATAAAAAAGTGTCAAGTGTAAGTGGTTGTTGAGTCTGTGTGTTTTTATGTCCTCAAACTTTTATCTTACATACATCACCTCTTCAGCAGTCTCTCCTTCCCAGAGCACCAGAGAGGTGGGTGAGGCTGCCATTCCCTGACCAAAGCAGAAGTGACAGCTGACTCACCTGATAGATGGGTGGGGCTCTGCAAAGCCATTAAAATCAGAACCAAGAACCGGAAAAGCTTTGCAGCCCTGGGACCGCTGTAGGCCTTTCAAGCTCCTAAGAATACCACTGTGCACTTGAGTAATGCTCACAGCCTGATCCTAAGTAATTACGAAAAGAGTAAGTTGTTGAGTCTACTCCCTGTACTGGGAGTTAGGTTCTGGAATCCGGCTGGGTCACCCAGCCTATGGCACTTACTGCTATGTGGCCTGAGGAGTGGACTTAACCTCTCTGTAAAAACTTTTTCCTTGACCTCCTTGCAGCATTGTTGTGAGGATTAGATAAAATCATGGGTGGCATGCCTTACGAGCTTTTGATACCGTGAAAAATGATTAGGGTGGAACACTAGTGTTCAGTTACAAATGAGGTGTTAAAACCAGGCCTGAGATTTCCCTCCCTGGCCTCTCTGAGTAAATACACTGTAAAAAGCAAACTACTTTTATTATGTGGAGGAAACAGGAAGTTTTCCCTTAAAGGATCAGGCAAAGTTAGCCAAGGAGGAAAGCTGAAAAGGAAGAGGATGGCATGCTTGGTCCTCCCAGGGTCCCAAATCCCCCAACACCTAGCTGCTGGCCCACATCCTCTCCTGTTGCATTCCTTCCTGTCAAGGGGTTCCTGTAGCTGACACCAATGCTGAGCTATCTGCTTCTGCCTTCCCTTGGTGGTTATTTAGATGGCTGATTTACGAAGAACCTGGGTTTCAAGGTGTTCCTTTCATCCTCGAGCCTGGCGAATACCCTGACTTAGCCTTCTGGGATACAGAAGAAGCGTACATTGGATCCATGCGGCCTCTGAAAATGGTGAAGATGAATTTTGTGTTCTTGAAGGCAGATGCTCTTTGATAATTCCTATGAAGTCTGCAGGTCATTTACCCGCCCAGAAATAATGGAAACATTAGTTCTCCGGATGTCCCAATGTAGTGACAGGAGGCTGTCTGATTGGTAGCTATGGGGGCTGGATGTCCACATACTTCCCTCAAGTATTTGCCCTTCTAGAAGGAGCATCCTGCTTCCTCCACCTGGATTTGTTATATTTGCCTCGGTCTTCATCTCTTCTGCCTATAGTGCACCTATAGTAGGTCCTCACTAGACACTTGCATTATACATGTTCATGAAATTCCACACTGCAGTTATCTTCAGAACTTGTGTAAGACAAATTAGAAAGTTAGGAAGATAATTTTTTTAGCTTAACTCAGTGCGTGGGTGCTATCCCTTAGCTTTTCCACTCAAGGCTGGCACTCTACCACTTGAGCCACAGCTCCAATTCTGGCTTTTTGGTGGTTAATTGGAGAAAAGAGTCCCATAGACTTTTTTGTGCAGGCTGGTTTTGAACCAGAATCCTTAAATCTCAGGCCTGTCAGTATCTAGGATTGTGGGTGTGAGCCACTGGTTCCAGCTAGAAAGGTAACTTTTTATCTCCTGCCAAAGCATTTGATTAAACATCTGAATGTTTCTTGCAGATATTTCAGGTTTTTAAATTTTAATTTCTACTTATGTGAATGTAGGATGGGGTTTTGAAAACAGATACAAGAATCATTTTCAACCTATGAATATATCCTTCCTGAAAAGGGTTCCTTTTAAAAGGGTATTTATTTGGTCCTATAAGCTCTGGTCTGCTGAGCAAAACCAGACCCAACCCTTCATTATCACAGCTCATTAGGTGCTTTTGAACATCCTGAACAGCAGTTTTTCAAAGCTGTTAAAGGTATATTGGTGAGAGAGGTCCTGACTTTTCCCACTGCTGACTTTTAACTTGGCCTACTATTTTAACCTTTTCTTTATTTTTAGTCTGTTTTTTTTTATAAAAGTATAACAACCTCCCCCACACCCTCCTTTGGGATGTTTTAAGTGCTATCTAATAGTTTATATCATATTACTTTACCATCCTCCATATTGCATGTGTGAACTTAAGCAGTTTTGTAGGCCAGGCTCTTAGAGCCAGGCAGGAAATGCAGGTGGGGGAGGCTGGCTAGTAGAGGAACTGTGGGGAGAGGTGGAGGTAGCTTAGCTAGCTAGTGCCCTTGCTGCTTAAGGACCTGCCTGGGGCAGAATAAACCACAGGTAATGGTGGCTGCTGATGAGGATTTAGGTTCACAGGTGGCCAGATCTACGATTGTTGGGCAAGCAAATGAAAAATACAGATTGGTTTTCTAAGTTGAAAAAAAAAATCTCCCATACACATTCAGCCTATATATCCTGTCTGAGTCTGTCTAGGCTGTGTTTCTCATGGCTTCATCTCCATTACTGGTAACTTTAGCATCATCTTATGTAAATGAATGGTTCAACAGTGTGGGTAACATAAATGGTAATGCAGCAATGAAAAATCCGTTTTCTTCCTATGTTATTTTTTTCCCCCAGGGTGGCCGTAAAGTTGAATTCCCTACAGATCCAAAGGTAAGTGTGCTTGTTGTGTGTGCACATGTGTGTGTGGTTTTATTCCTCTTCCATCTCATATGACTTGTGCGTACACCAATTTCCAACCCACTCTGATACACCCAGAGGAGGCAGGCCTCAGTTCCTCTGCACGCATCCACAGGCTGGAAGAAGATCCTGGGACATTCGGTATCATTTAACAGGATATGGAGCCACACCCCTCAAGGCTCATTGTCCCATTGAGTTTATTATTTCTGGCTGTATTGCTAATTGCATGGGCCTGTCACTGCTTGCCCATAGCCAAGAAGAAACTCCTTCAAGACACATTTTTCCTACTCCAAAATAATTCTTTCTGCTATTGATACTCTCTCAACTTATGCCATGTTTGTTGCTTATGTAGTTGTCTGTGGGAGTCTCTTGGATTTGTCTGCCTAGGCTGGCTTCTTTAGTTTCATCTAAGCAGTGTACTAAATATCAGTTCCCAACTTTAAACAAAAATCGTTATTAAGGAAAACAGAGCCAGGTGTCCATAGTTTATGTCTGTAATCCTAGCTACTTGGGAGGCTGAACTCTAAGGATCATGGTTCAAAGTCAGCCTGGGCAGGAAAATCCTTGAAGCTCATCTCCCGTTACACACTAAGAAGCCAGAAATGGAGTTGTTGCTCAAGTGGTAGTGTGTAAATGTTGAGCAAACAAGCTCAGAGATAGCACCCAATCCCTGAGTTCAAGCCCCAGGACTGGCACCAAAACAAAAAACAAAACCAACTATCTTTTGAACCTTGGCATTGGACTGTTCAACATCTGGGCAGGGAAAAGCTCAATAAGTTACTTTAAGCTATGTTATTAGTTGTTGTTACTTATTTAATTGAAAATTATGTCATTAAAATGATATTGAAAATAAAAATTTATTTAGAAAATATAGTCAAAATGGAAATGGTCTATATTGAAAATACAGAGAATTTGTGTTCTAGATGTTTCTGCTTGAAATGGCTAACATTTCAGCTGCTGAGATAGTTAACTTCTTACATGTTACTGAAATATCTTATTTCTGTTGTAGGTAGTCATTTATGAAAAGCCTTTGTTTGAAGGAAAATGTATGGAGCTAGAAACAGAAATGTGTAGTTTTATCACAGAAGAAGGTGAAGCAGAAAAAACAACAGGAAATGGTCATTTACCTTTTACATCAGTGGGATCTATGAAAGTTTTAAGAGGCATGTAAGTAGAGAAGTAACTGGTAAGGATTTCTCATTTATCCTTGATAAAGTAATAAATGACCTCTTTTCCCCAAAATAACATTCCTGATTCTAAGGTATAGTAGATTTATTTTTTTTCCCTTTTTCCCCTTTTCCTTACCTATCTACCTCCTTCCCTCCCTCTCAATCTCTCTGTCTATCTGTGCCATTCTCTCTTTCATCTCTCTTCTGTTTTTTTTTTCTTTTTGCTAGTACTAGGGCTTATACACAAAGCCTGGGTGCTGTCCCTTAGCTTTTTTTGCTGAAGGTTAGCGCTCTGTCTACCACTTGGGCTATGCCTCTACTGTTAGAATCCTTCATGGCCATCCCAAGGGACCAGGCAGAGGCAGGGAGGCACAGGAGAAAGATTATTATAAGGTTTATTAGAGGGGTGATATTTCCCCAGGGAGAGGGAGCCCATGGCGTCTGCCCCTGTCCAGGTGGCAGGTAGGTCTGGGGCTGGTAGTGAGGCAGGTACACACACAGGTAGATCCGGTCAGAGAGAGGGAGTGGCCAGCTGTATGGCCCGAACTCTAGGGCAGGGAGGAGCTCAGGTGTAGGTGGAGCTGAGGACCAGAGGTGGGGATAATGTTAACTTCTTCTGGCTTTTTGTTGGTTAATTAGAGATCTGAGTCTCTTGGATTTATTTATCCAGGCTGGCTTTGAACCACAATCTTCAGATCTGAGTTTCCTGAGTAGCTAGGATTACAAGTATGAGCCACCAGCACCTGGCTTTGTTTTTGTTTTTCTAGCAGTACTGGAGTATGAACTCACAGCCTTCCACTTGTTAGGCAGATTCTTTATCATTTGACCCATGCCATCAGTCCAGGTGTATATTTCTTAGTTTTCGTTTGTTTGTTTGTTTGTTTTTGGTCCAGTTGTGGGGCTTGAACTCTGCGCCTGGGCACTGTCCCTCAGCTCTTCAGCTCAAGGTTAGCACTCTACCACTTGAGCCACAGCACCACTTCTGGCTTTTTTCTTTTTGCTTATGTGGTGCTGAGGAATTGAACCCAGGGCCTCATGCATGCAAGGCAAGCGCTCTACCACTGAGCCACTTTCTCAGCCCTTAGTTTGTTTTTTTATGTACTGTTTTCCTAAACTTTAGAGAGTTCCAGTAACAAGACAAGTTTATGACTAGCTTCATAGCTATTGATATTTGTCATGACCAGCTTCATAGCTATTGATATTTGTCATGACCCTGCTGTGCACAAGAGAAGTGCAAACCATGACTCTGTGCTGCTCTTTCTTTGCAGTTGGGTAGCTTATGAGAAGCCTGGCTTTACTGGTCACCAGTATTTACTAGAAGAAGGAGAATACAAGGACTGGAAAGACTGGGGCGGTTACAATGGAGAACTTCAGTCTTTGCGACCTATATTAGGTGTAAGTTAAAGAAAAGCTAATGATTAGGACTCAGTCTCTTTGGTTATAAATGACTCCCCTTTGAATTTTGATTTTTTTTCTTAATAGGATTTTTCAAATGCACATATGATCATGTACAGTGAAAAAAACTTCGGCTCCAAAGGTTCCAGTATTGACGTGCTAGGAATTGTGGCTAATTTAAAGGACACTGGATATGGCGTGAAGACCCAGTCTATTCATGTGCTGAGTGGAGTGTAAGTGAAATCCTCCAGTCCCGATCCTGAACTTGGTTTTTGTCTTGATTTGGGGTAAACTAGTAGAGTATGTAACACAGAGTGGGTACTCAGCAGATAGCTATCTTGCCAGCTAAACACCAATTCTGCGGTTTAATACTTACTGTTATGTTGCTTCACAAATATTGCTCATATAATCTTTTCTTTTCATGTAGTAGAACATTGAAGTAGGCTTTCAAGTATCATGACAGAAATCTACAGATCCACTTCCTGTGTCATTCAGTATAGAAAGATCATGAATATTTTATGAGATAACATCCCTCTAATGTTAAAACCTGAGGCTGGGACAAAATCTCACTAAATCTTCCTGTGGTCCTCCACCTGCTCCAGTGTGTTTCTCATTATTATTTTAACATAATAAAATACACACAATAAAATCATTATTTCAGTTTCCCTGGCGTTAACAGCTCAGTGGTTTATTGCATTTAGATGTCTGTACAAGGAGGTGGCACTACCTGTGTGATGTATGTTCTGAGATAGAGTCTGCCTATGTGTTCAAGTTGGTCTCAAACTCGTGATCATCCTGCCTCAGCCTCCTGAGTGCTGGGATTATAGATGTGTACCATCATACCCAGCCCAATGTTTTGTTAATGACAAAGCAAGTTTGTTGTTTTTTTGCTTTGTTGTTGTTGTTTTGACAGTCCTGGGGCCTGAACTCAGAGTGTTGGCACTGTCCCTGAGCTTCCTTTGCTCAAGGCTAACACTATGACTTGAGTCACAGTGTCACTTCTAGCTTGTTCTGTTTATGTGGTCCTGAGGAATGGAACCCAGGGCTTCATGGATGCTTGGCAAGCACTCTACCACTAAGCCATATTCCCAGTCTAGCAAAGCAAGTTTTTATTGTAAGAGGACCAATGAGAGAGATAACTCTCGGGGATATAAGTGGCCATGAGCCAATCTTAATTGGAGCAAGTGATAACAATGGAACTTATTGGCTTAGGAAGTGAATTATCTTGGAGAAGATTTTATTTCAGAGTCCTCAGAACTTAGTTGCTGTGTCTTGCCTGAGCTTCTTTCATGTTGTTTTAACCTTAGGCTGTCCCCTTCCATCTGGTGGTCTATGTTTACCCTGAATTTTTGCTCTCCCACCTCATTGCAGTGGAAAGAGTGCTCTTTGCTTCATAAGTTCTAGGTTAGACCTGCTGCCTAGGTGAAAATCACATGAGCATACCTGAACGCAGGTGCTGGCTGTGCCTGGGAGATGTGCCATCCCAGGTTGGTCCCAGGGCCATAAGGAGGGCAGGTAGATCCCATGTGGCCTAACAGCCAGTGTCTACAGTAGGAACTGCATGATCATTTTCATGGTCCAGCTGATGTCTGGTTTATTTTCCAATGTGAGAAGGTTCTTCTGGATTAATGGGGGGAAAATGACATTGGTTCTGTTGAAAGTGGTTGATGTTAGTTGTTTCATCTGTTACTGAGGGACACAGGCTATTTGAATCAGTCCAGCCTCAACCCTGTTGTATTTTGTGTTTATGTGAGGTAGGCCTCAATGAAGTATCCTTCTGTTGTTAGTCAGCACATCTTGTGTAAGCTCTTGCTTGTGGTGCCATCTTGCCAGAATGACAGCGGTCTCATCTGGGTCTTCCAGACTTAAAATGCCTTTTATTAAGGTCCTGTTCTGAACCCATGGTATGGTAGATCATAGTTGGCTGTCTCCATTTCACCTGAAATGAGATGTATGGCAGTAGGCATTTGAAATGGTACAGTGGCTCTACCTTTACAGTTAATTATTTAACAGGAAATTTCAGTGACTGGTGAAAGAGTTGTGCATTTGATCCTCACCAGGTGTGCTGGTTCTATGAGTCATAGGCCAGTCATCTATCTACTCTGGCAAAGTGGCCACAAAGGATGCTGGGTAGACATTGGTATAGATTGCGCTGTTGGGACAGGTAGTGTTACTGAGTTGAACTAGTCCTTTCTTTACTCCCAAGACCCTGCTTACTTGAAATCAATTTCCATTACAACATAATTGCTTTTCTGTTTTTTGTTTTTAGCATTCCCAGTTGTATTTCCTGGCTTAGACATTCTTTTTTTTTTTTCTGATTGTAGCAGCTGAGTTTTGGTATTGGGGGGAAGTTGAAAGAGGCACACATATAGGTTCACACTTCCTTTATATTCTGTTTGAAGAAGGCCTTCTGTGTTACCAGATCAGCTGCTTCCTCATTTCCCTCATTTTAGTTTGCCATTTTGATAAATATTTATTGTGTATGCAAAGCATCGTATTATGTCTTCGGAGACGTTACACTGTTCACGCAAACCACAAATAATTATTGCTACAAAAAAAAAAAAGAAGTTAGCTGGGCACTGGTGGCTCACGCCTGTAATCCTAGCTACTCAGGAGGCTGAGATCTGAGGATCTCGGTTCAAAGCCAGCCCAGGCAGGAAGACAGTGAGACTCCTATCTCCAGTAAACCACCAGAAAACCAGAAGTGGGTTGTAGCTCAAGTGATAGAGCGCTCTCCTTGAGCTGAAGAGCTGAGGGACAGCGCCCAGGCCCAGAGTTCAAGCCCCATGACTGACCAAAAAAAAAAAAAAGAAGTTAAAACGTTTTAGAAATGCACAGCAGAGAGACAAATTTGTAGTCGATGCAGATAAGACTTTTGGAGGAGGGGAAGGTTAAGATGCACCAAGATAAGGAGGAAAACTAACTTTTTTTCCTTTTTCCAGTAATGAGTATTGAATTAGGGCAAGCACTCTACCACTTGAACACCCCTAGCTTATTCATTTTTAAGTTTCAAAGGAAAATTGTTTCATTTAAATGGCTTTAATATTACTAGTAAATAAGCATCTAAAATGCTATGGTTGTTTATTTTTTAGCATGGCAGTCAAAGTCAGAAAACTCTTACTTTGTTGTTGTGTTTTGCTTTTGGAGACAGAATCTCACTTTGTACCCCAGACTGGCCTAGAAATCTCTATTCTCCTGCTTCATGCACCTGAGTGCTGGGATTATAGGCATTTGCCACCAAGCCCCGTTAGGAAAACAAACAGAAAAATCAAAGACGACCAAAAAAACCTCTTGAAATTCTTGCTCTGTGAAAGTATCTCCCAGGAGACTCAATATCACCTGGGTACTAAATTTTCCAGGTGGCAAACTCATTATTAGCTCTCCAGCAGCAACAGCCTTGAAGGAAGCTCAGGAAACAATTGAAGATTTGGGGGCCTGCATTCCATTTCTTCCTGGAGTGTCAGACTCCTGTGAGTTCTGTGCTATACTCCAGCTCATAGAGTGCAAACTGGGCAACTGCTTTAAAAACAAAAAAGTAAAGTGAAGTATTTCTTGAGCTCAGATAAAAAGCAAAAGGGCTGTTTGCAATTCTTTCTCCTTCAGCCTTCCCCAGAAGGGCAGGTTTGCCCCGCTGCCTTCAGTTACTTCAGGAGGCAGGGATGGGACCTGTTAATACTTGTCCTTGCCTCTCTCCCTTCCCCTCATTCACCTTTAAGCAGAGAAGTATGGATTTATGTGCACAGAATCCATGTGAACATGCCCAGCCAGGTATGTTTTTAAGATTCCTAATTATATGTCAACTCTGCACCATAGATAGGGCAGACTCTCACATCCAGGCATTTGGGGTTCATCCCCCTCTCCTCCTGCTCCTCATTCACTCAGTGCTGTGCCCAGAAAGAACATTGCTACTTTCTATAGAAAACATCTTTTTGCATATGTGTGTGTGACAGTACTGGGGCTTGAACTCAGAGCCTGGGTGCCATCCCTGAGCTTTGTCACTCAAAGCTTGAGCCACAGCTCAAATTCTAGCTTTTTGGTGGTTGGAGAGTCTCATGGACTTTTCTGCCTGACTCGCTTCAAACCTCGATCCTTGGATCTCAGCCTCCTGAGTAGCTAGCTACTCAGGCATGAGCTTAGGAAACATTTTAATAAGCTATTTTCCTGCTTCTGCCTCAGTGAATTAGACAGGCTTACCTGGATGTTGGGGGAAATCTTTTGTGTCACAACTTGCTATCTTTGTTTTTGTTTGGAATTCCTGGATTTTGTTATATTCTTAATTCTTTTGTTAATAATTGTTGTGAAGGTAGCCGAAGGCTGTGTGTGGAGAAAGCGCTACAGGTAGCCCATGTTGTTGAATAGCCTTACCAGCTCTCATGGACTTTACTGCCTAGGCTGTCCTTGAACTATGATCCTCCGATCCCAACTTCCAAAGTAGCTAAGATTATAGGTGTAGCCACTAGCACCTGGCTTCCTTGTTTTAAATTTTGGCAGTAGTAGGATATGCATTCTGCCCTTTACTCTCGGTAGTCAGGCAATCTACAGCTGAGTCATTCCAGTGGCTTTTTTTTCCCCACTGTTTATTTGCCCAGGAGCATATTTGGACTGTAATCCTCCTATTCTACCGGTCCCACCACAGCTGGAATGATGTGCACAGGCCACTACTGAGCTGTTAGATGAGAAAGAGGCCTCATGAATGTTTGCTTGTACTGGCCTCAAACCAAAATCCTGCCTTTAGCCTTCTGAGTAGCTGAAGGCAAAGGTGTGGCCATCTTACCCAGCTTCCCCTTTTTCTCCTTGATGGCTGCTTATTTCCTGGTAATGACTATACTTGTGCTTTGGTTTAATCAACTACCTAGATAGTAAAATTGGGTCTTTTAATTATGAAGGATATAGACTCTTAGGTGTGGTTTACTAGAATAGTAAAGGAAAGGGAACTTTATAAGGCAGGTCATAAAGTAGAATGCTTGGTGACCTTTAAATTTTGCAGCCCCAGCCATGTTATGGCCACTAACTGGTTGTCACCAGACCTTAGAAAAAGCACCAACTATTCCTTATGATGGTTCTGAGCCATCTGTCCTCTTCAGGCAGTTGGTATTTTTCACCTTCGTCATTCCTGGCACAGGGCAAATGGCTTTCCAGTGTTTATCGAATGAACAAATAGGTTCACTTTTTATGTCTTTAGGTTTTCGCATCTATAAAATGAGCATGCCAGTATCTCCTTAAGATAAATGTGATTTGGTAGATGTGAATGTATTTGGGGGAAGTTCCACATAGACAGATATTATTCCTGTCAGTTGGGAGAGGGCTGGTACAGCAATAAACTGGTACAAGTAGAGCCTAGGTATCTCTGCACTGCAACAGAATCAAAGGTTTTTTCCCCTCAAAGACTTTACCTTTGGGTAGCAATAGTGTAAGGTGGTTTCATTGATTTTCTTCTTTGAATGTAGATCATTGAAAAGTTGACAAATGAAAACTTTCCAAAAAGTATTTGTTTCTGATATTTCTGTGATTGATTTTGTTTATTATGTTATTGGGTCATATGGGAAATACTGTTGGGAACATTTTTTTTTTTTTAGCATTTAACTTTTTTTTGGTCTGTCGTGGAGCTTGAACTCTGAGCCTGGGCGCTGTCACTCAGCTCTTCAGCTCAAGGCTAGCACTCTACTACTTGAGCCATAGCACCACTTATGGTTTTCTGGTGGTTTATTGGAGATAAGAGTCTCACAGAGGGGCTGGGAAGGTGGCTCAGTGGTAGAGCGCTTGCCTTGCATGCCTGAAGCCTGGGTTCAATTCCTCAGCACCACATAAGCAAAAAAAAAAAGCCGGACTGGCTCTGTGGCTCAAGTGGTAGAGTGCTAGCCTTGAGCTGAAGAGCTGAGGGACAGTGCCCAGGCCCAGAGTTCAGGCCCCACGACTGGACCGCCCCCCCCCCCAAAAAAAAGAGTCTCACAGACTTTCCAGCCCAGGCTGGCTTTGAACTGCCATCCTCAGATCTCAGCTTCCTTAGTAGCTAGAATTACAGGTGTGAATCACTGGTGCCAGCCATTTCATTTTTTTGTTCTGCAGTGTGATTTGATATTTAATAGACATATAGCTTCCTGTTAAGATCTTTTAAATCTTTGTGTTGATAACACACAAGAATTCTTCCTTGTTTAATTTAAAAGAACTAGGCAATTTCTGAAAGTCAATTTATTTCCTTAAAGTAGAAGGGAAAAAAAGCCCCACAGAGAATTATTCTCATTGGAATTTTCTCAAAGACTGATCTGATTAATGAAAATACAAAAAAAGGGGCTGGGAAGGTGGCTCAGTGGTAGAGCGCTTTCCTTGCATGCATGAGGCCCTGGGTTCGATTCCTCAGCACCAAATAAGCAAAAAGAAAAAAGCCAGAAGTGGCGCTGTGACTCAAGTGGTAGAGCGCTAGCCTTGAGCTGAAGAGCTGAGGGACAGCGCCCAGGCCCA